AGGATGCAGTACATTTTTTAAGGATCAGTTTTATTTTCTGATTTGAATACTGATAATCTTTGGTAAATCCTGTTTTTTAGTGTGCTGGGAGACCTCATTATGTTGGCATTTTTATTTGTATAAAACATCATTTCCATTAGCAGTGAATGCCTGACTAAAAACCTCTGAGCTAGAGCTTCTTTTTCTTAATTTTTTTTTTTTTAATTTCAAAATATTAAGGGGGTACAAATGTTTTCATTACATGGATACATTGTATAATGCTTAAGTTAGGACTTTTGGTATGGCCATCACCAGAAGAGTGTTCATTGTACCCAACAGGTAAGTTTTACCCCTACCCGCCCCACCCCCACCCCTGGACCCTCTTTACTTCTTGTTTTCCGGTGTCCTTTATATTTCAAGAACTTCTTTTAAAAAATAATAAAATAAAAACTATGACTTTAGGAAATTCTTCTGGATTTTTTTTTTTATTGGTAGGATGAGTGCAGGTTGTATAAAATGGTACTATAAAACTTTTCACAGATTTATTGTGTTCATAATATGTATGTTGTGTTAGTCAAGGTGGAGGAGAAATGCATGGAAGACTAGCCAAGGTTTTGAAGTGGAGAGTTGGAGTGGCTTACACAATCATAAAGCGTTTTAGCTACTGTTACAGTGCATTTGAAAAACACAAAATTTGTGACTACATCTGGACAAAAACACTAGATGTCACTGTTGTAGTTTTGATAGTTTACCAGGAGCTGGTAAAGATTTTTCTGCTTTTAATCACCATATATTTTTCATTGACACAAACTTTTAAGCCATCTTGGCACATTACATTTAGATAAATGCTTACTATAGGAAGCACTTTCCTCAAGAATTGTTTATTTTGTTATTAGCGTTTGTGTAGTGCTAATGGCTCAGGAATAACATATATATAATATTAATACAGTATATTTATTTTTCAGCTAACTACATTCTCCAAGCTTCATTTCTCAGTGTACTTTCCTGGGAACACTGGTTCTTGATATACTTTTTGAGGAAACATTTTTTAAAATATTATGGTTAATGATAAAGTTCTTATATATTACCTATATTTGTATGTCAAAGCCTAGAGTCATGAGTATCTTCTCACTTCTTCAATTGACCCAGCATACAGGATATAGAAAAAGCTTCAAATTAAATATGTTTTTATTTTTAAGAATTCTTTCTCTGTATTAAAAAATATGCATCTCCATTAGGATGATAGAATTATAAATGATTTGTTTTCTTTATCATTTCCTTTAATATTTTTTCATACCACTGATACACTATATTTTATGATCATGCTTTTTAAAAATGTGAAATATTTTTATTTTTTTATTAATGTTCAGTTAATTTTTTGAAGATGCTTTATATTTACTCATGCTTGAGGTCCATCTTTATATAGGTATGTTTTTATTGACTGTTTTCTAACTTGTTACAAATTGTTATTTGAAATGGATTTATTTCATTTCATGAATTCTTATGACTTTAAAAAAGCTATTATGCAAAAGAAATACCCAAATTGCAAGTATTATAGTCACTAGCTAAACGTCAGGTCTTTTCAGCATTTCCTTCTTGATTCATGGTTGAAAGTCACGTGATGAGAGGGGCTCACTCAGAAGGTAATAGGTGACCATGCATTTTCTTCCATTTTCTTTGGAAGTGAACAAGCAACAAGATCATAGTACCAGGCTGACATAAAAAGGATGAGAGGATATTTATAAGCAAAATATGCACATTTTATTTTGAAATTATTTAAAGAAGAAACTGAGGCTTCGAGTTGAAGAATAGATAATTTTGAAGTCACAACAAGAATCAGTTAGTAGACTTCTTAAAGGTAGAAGCAGTGGTTATGGTTCTGATGCTTAGCTTTGGTAAGGGTAAATGCCATAGCAGACTCTGAAATGCTACAGTGCTTTTGGGCTATGGATTTCATTTAGGTGACTGCTCTGATTTGGATAGGAGGACTAGAATTGAATTATAGGAGCAGCAGGAAACCTGCTTGTGCCTAGGCCTTTTTCTTCTGCTTTAGTTTTGCTTTATTAGTTTAATACAAGAATGTTAATATTTAAAAGATTACTTAAATTACTAATATTGTTACTTAGTAGAGGTATTTTGATAGGAAAAATTTCAGGTAATGGCATTTTCTGTGGTAATGACGTTTTCTATAATAATCTTTGAGATTCAGCTAATTCTGGAGTCAACGAAAAAAGGCACATTTGTTACCTGCAGACATTGCTGCTAAGTGGCAGCTGTTTGTGTATCACTGAGTTTTCCTTTTGTTTGTTAACTTCTTCTCAGCCTTCCTTGTTAGCTCTTCTGCTTATTAAAAAAATTCCAAGTTACTAAGCTGTTGGAAGATTTTCTCCTTAAGTATTTTGTAATAAGTTACACAGATTTCTGAAGAATAGAAGCTCTCCAGAGGGCTCTGGATCTCATAGACCACACAGCTGTGCTGGCTGCCGGTGCGCTCACTGTTAAAGCACAGTTAACTTTCCAAGTTAAGGAAGGAAACAAAGCTTAAGAGCTGCTCAGCAAGTTGACTTTCAAGCAAAGGCACCACTGGGACTGTTGTTTCTCTTAGTCCTCTGGCCCCAGCCATTTGAATTTTTAAATGGTGAACTAGTTTCTTGGTAACCTGTTTATGCTTTTTTTTTTGTTGGTTCTGCATGTTAAAATTCAATAGGACACTTACAAATTTGCATCTTCAACTCAGAGCTTGGTATTTTCATTGAGTTACCCAGCAGTACAATTGAATCTTGGGTATCTTGGGCACATCACTAGATAATTTTTTTCCCAAAAGTGTTAAAATGACTAGTTTTATAATCTTATGTGCAAATTCTTTCAAAGTAGGCTGGTTTTTAGTTTTTTTCCTGAATTTTATATATCTGGGCCAAATCCCTTAGAAGAGTTATTCTGATAATACTTTACTATTTTCTTAACAGAATAAAGTTTTTGTTTATAGCATTCTTCAGTAGTCTCTTCAAGTAGTTTAATGACACAATTATGGTTCATGTTCTTGAATACACCCTGCAGTGACCCCATGTCAGCATTTGTCACCACTTTGACAACAGGGATGTGGTAGAGGCTAATGGATTTGTTTCTGTGGCCTAGGTCCTGGGTCTTGAAGCTGCTGTGACTTCCCCTGTTGACATGGGAGGGCCAGGTCTAGGGGCTGATGGCAATGGGATAGATGGGTCTCCACCATTACTGCAGCTGTGGGACTTGGATAAGTCCCCCTTTACAAGAATGGAGATAGGAGGGCCTTCATGAATGGTCTCTGGGGTTTGGCTGTAGTCTTGGCAACCTCTGCATAGGGTATTAAAGTTTAATTTATTTTTACTTTTAGGTTCTATAGGAAGCTGTGAACTGGAAAAGGATCATTTTTCTTCTGATGATGAAGCAATAGAAGCTGACAACGAAGATGATGTTGAACCCTGTGATGAAAATGAAAATACTGCAGAATCCAATGTTGAGACTAATATGGGCTGGGCATATGCCATGGCTAAAATCCTTAACAAAAAAATTCCTAAAAGTAAACACGCCATTCTGGTCAAAAACAAAGCGCTGGAAAAGGAAAAAGAAAAGTTAAAAGAAGAAAGAATAGAGAAGAGAAAACAGGTGTGTCCTATTAGTTGTAGATTAGATTGTCTAGTTTAGTTCTTATCTTTACTAAATTGTTCTTGCAGTTTGTCCAATTAACACTCCACTTTTTAAATTGCTTTTTATGTGGCAGTGGATAACCACAGTTATGTTCAGAAACTTAGTGGAAGTTACTCCATTGAGCATGTTGCCTTTTTAATAATGTAAGCAAAATAAGGCTAATCCTTATAGTGAGAGCAGGAGTTTGGTTTTATAGTGATTAGACATGTCATTAATACAAAATGAGAGATGAGTGGAGATATGGAAGAGATAAAAGGTGACTTTTTTCCACTGGTCTTTGTTACTGGTTTTGATGTTTTCGATGCTTTGCCAGCTGCTTGGTGATTATTTCATCATATCCTTATATTTGACATTTGGTTAAATTTTGTCCTGAGAGGGAGACCTGAACAAGCAATGTATTAATGTCAAATCAGATTCCTGGGGCCAATGTATTACTTAAAGATAATTTTGAACTAATTTATGTTGTCTGTGGGATTTTCTTATTTCCCAGCTTCCCTTCTACTTCTGCACAATAGCAGAGAATGAGTTTGTTGTAGTTTGTGACTGATATGCCACATATGGCAAGGATATTGGTCAGGTGTACCATGAGAGGAGAAAAGGATTTAAATGATTTTGTGCAAAGAGAAATAGTCATTGTATAAGTATCTGGACATGATGGCTGTTCTTTTAAAAGCTGATAGAATTTCTTATTAATTATGACTGCTAAGGAAGTCAATTTCTGAAAATAAATAGCATTTAACCTTATAATTATCAGAGAGGGTAGTTTGGAGTCTTCCTTCTGCTTTCCTCTGATGATCAGGCATGTGGCTCTCTCCCACCCTACCTTGTACTGCCAGGCTGAATATGCTGGCAGTTCTCCAGGCCCCTGCTGTCAGAGAGCTTGACAGAAACTCACTTTGTGCCTCTCACATGACACACTGAGTGCTAACCACAGGCTCCCTGAGCCGAACCCCTAAAATTGTGGGTTTTTTTTTTTGAAGTCCCTATGACAAACTAAGCCAGAATGATTTATTACCTTTGTCCTTTCACAGAGTATCATATCAATGTTTGCTGCACTTTCAAAAATATCTAATATTCTTTCACATAACAATATTTATAACACAGCGTGATAAGAGGCTGGAGTGGGAAATGATGCGCAGAGTAAAGCCAGATGTTGTCAAAGACAAAGAAACGGAGAGAAATCTTCAGAGAATTGCAACAAGGTAAGGCAGTGTTTTTGCCCTGTAAAAAAATAAGTATACTAAAGCTTTGATAATGATCTATGTTTGACCAGATTTGAGTCTTAAGCTTAGTCATCTCAGAGCCAAGTGATATATATCTAGGCCTGCTTTACTCAACACTGAATTCAACCAAAGATTTTGCAGGTCTCAGGAGGCAAGAATATAATGTGCTAAGTGTATATTTGGTATGAACTTATTTCAGATCATCTTGTTTTTATAGTCATAAGAACTGTGTAATCAGACCTTTTACTGCATTTCTCTTAGGATGGTTGTCTAAATTTATGGCACTCAATGATGATTTTTGTTATCTTGCATTATATTTATGGCATTACACATTACAGAGCTTCATGCTGTCCTTTCACTGTGTTTTTTTTTTTTTTTTTGTCAGCACCAAACATTTATTTGATGCCTTCTGTGTCTAAAGATAAATAGAATATGGTGGCTGTTGGTTGGTCCTTGCCCACCTATCTGTAGAAATTAAATAGAAGTACGTCCTGTGTGTTGGGAATATACAACAAGAGATTGGGCGAGTTGGGGAAGGCAGTACAGAGGAGATAATATTTGGGCTGCTACTTAAAAGAATGTGGCAATTATATTTAATGGAATTATTTTTAAATTCTTAGTTACCTACATTATTTTGGTCATTTTCTAATCCATCTAGGTGTTTTACAGTGATACAGTGTGGTATGGTGGTTAAGGACATGGGTGATAGAGCCAGACTGCTAGGTTCAAATTTGAGCACCGACTTACTAGCTTGTGTGTCCTTGAGCATGCTACTTAATTCTTTCTGTCTCAGTTTATCTGTAAAATGAGGATAATATTATGCCTAGCCTATAGGGTTTCTCTGAGAATGAAATGAATTAATACATATAAAGTAATTAGAGGAGTGCAGGATAAGCCCATGAGAGTGAGTGAGTACCTGTCTCCTTAAATTGTGTACACTGGGCACATCACTTGCCTCGTCTTGGCAGTGCTGTGAAGGGTCTGGAATTTTATTGTCCTTAAAGGCTAATAAGCTAGCCTGTTAAAGTTTCTTGGATGCTTGTGGAAGACAAGAGACTTCTGGGACAAAGATAAAGGACTTTATTACTCATGGCAAAAGTAGTAGTTAGAACTTCACTTCTCACTGGCTTCCTTTCCCATGGGGGAATGCAGGTGCCCTAGATTGGAATCTATTGGTTTTATAGTGATTGGTAACAAGCTTGCTCTTTGCTCAGGGTGGGGAGACATTATTTCAGTCCCTCAAAGTTGTTTTCTGCAAATACAACCCTGAGAGATGGTTTAGGTAAAGGGCCTTTAATTTTTGAAATACCTACCAAGAATGTGGAGGAATGCTCAGGGGCCAGGATGGATTGCCTCTTCCAGCAATTATTATAGCAAGAGAATCCATAGATTATAGAGTTTTAGAGCTGGAAGGGATCTTAATGGCCTAAATCAGCCCTGTCCAGTAGAAATAGGATGTGAGCCACATATGTAATTTAAAATTTTCTTGTAGCCACATGGAAAAAAGTAAAATGAAAGTGGTGAAATTAATTTCAATAATATAGTTTATTCAACTAAATATGTTAAAAATATTATTTCAACATGTAATCAATATATCAAATATAACAGTAATGACATTTAAAAATTCTCTTTTTCATATTAAGTATTTTCATTTCCAGCACATGGCAGTTTAAACCAGCTGCATTTCAGGTTCTCACTAGCCACATGTGGCCCCATATTGGATGCTGCTGGTCTTAATCTTCAGAGTTCATCCTGGCATGAACTTAACTACAGAACAGAGTTTTTAACTAAATACTTCTCAAAGTAGGATTTTAAAAATTAGTTTCATAACACAGAAGTTGCAGATAATGTAACTGAGTACTTTAAGCTGATACTCAGACATTATTTCTCTAATTTACAGATAAATTGAGATCTGGAAATTCTTTCCTAGAGTCAAATGCTTAGACAGCTAACTATAAAGGCTGTATTTTTTCCATCACTCTGTAATGTATTTAATCATTATGTAATTATATTCTGAGAAATAGATGTTTGTGTTAAGAGTAATTCTCTGTTCTTTTTTTAAAATTTTATGTATTTTTTTAAATTTCAGAGTATTACAGGGGTATAAATGCTTTGACTACATAAATTACCTTTGCACCGCTCAAATCAGAGCTATAATTCTCAGTTCTAATTGCACAAAAGTTGATTTAGAAAGACCAAAGCTGTTAAAAGAAAATACCAATCCACATTTATTTATTCTTCATTCCGAAATTTATATTGATTTATTGAAATGTATGTTCATTTTATAGATGTATTTAACCTTTTATCCAATTCTTTCATTTGAGTGACTATTAAGTGCTTGCCTCTTTTCTAGGAGGTGAAAATACATTGTTCCTGTCCTTGGAGTTTGTGTTCTATCCATCATATTGAACAACTACATTGTTCTGGTTTTTATCATTTTTATCTTCTATAGGGGTGTGGTGCAGTTATTTAATGCTGTTCAGAAACATCAGAAGAATGTTGATGAAAAGGTTAAAGAAGCTGGAAACTCTATTAGAAAGCGTGCTAAGTTAATATCAGCTGTTTCCAAGAAAGATTTCATCAGTGTTTTGAGAGGAAAGGACGGAAGTACAAATGAGACAAGTTCTACTGGGAAGAACTCAAAAGCTAAACAGGTAAGACTTTATATAGGATTCAATGTATCAGACTTTTCAGCTCTGAAACAAGAGTTTTGAGATGGAAAAGCACACTATACAATTCCAATTCTTTTTCAGATTTCATTTAAAGTCCTATAATGCCCACAGTCTGATTTAAAAGTTTGTGTTCTTTAGTTTCATGATGATTGACTCAGAATGGAAGTTGCCAATTATGGGTATCATACCCCTGCTGTTAGAACTCAGGAACCAAATAGATTCACGTAAATTTTTTAGTGATGTGCCTTCCATTTCTCCTATCTGAAATCCTACCATTTGTGTGTTTTGGAGAATAGAAGCCTAAGTGAGGACCACAGCTTTAATTTGAGACTTTGTGATGGTATGTAACTTGTAAAATATGAAGAGTCAGAGCTTTATGAAATAATGGCAGAAAGTCATCTTTGCATTAAGGCAGATTTGGTAACGTTTGGCTGGTTGGGAGATTAAGAACAGAAATATTTTCTGTGGTCTTTGGCTTGATAGCTTTGCTTCTCCAGCCCTGTTGACCTGTGGAAATCAATAATTTCCTTTTTCATGTACTGGGTGAAAGGTTTTGAAATGTGCTTTAATCTGGTAAGGGCTGATTTTTAGAAAAAATTAAAGTACATAGTTGTATTTGATGGCCTGATTTCAACAAAAAGTAGTTTAATCAATCAGGAGATGGCAATTTCTGTCACAATTTTATTTGTATTTTGGGAAAACATTTGAGACTGTGGAAAGAAGAGCATTTAGGAATTTCATGCTAGCCTGGGGTGGAGTATTTTTCAATTTCCTTGATTAAGGTGCCATTTTACCAAAATTTTGATGAAAGTTTTCTAATCTATGTAATAATTGTACTGCTATTTTAAATTATCTATCAGAAGTAAGCATACACACATGAACTCTATGTTTGGAAATTTATGCTTTATAGTTAAAAAGCCTTAAACGGCTGTATTCTCAATAGTTTCATTTTATTTAAGAACTGGAGAAAGGTTCAGCAGCTTTAGATGGGGAAGGACTAGTGGGAAGATAGAAAATAAGATTTATCTTTTTCTTTTTCCTATTGGTTTCAAAATAACATTTTAAAGAAGCATTTATTTTTGCTGGGAGATTATTTCTTCATGAGTTATGAAAATAAGGTTCTCACCAATGGCATTGCATTTTCTTTCTTATTTGCATTTGCCCTTGACTTTCTTTTTTTCTACTTCAGTGATCACAGTCATAGTATTAATCTAGGAAACGGTCAAAAATTGCTTCAGACTTAGCCAAAGTGGTTTTGCTCTAAAGGTAATTTGTTTCTAGAACTACCTGCCCGCATGCCACGGATACCCTGACACATTTCTTTCTTTTAAAAATATTTGTTTTCATTTTGACTTCCTATTTATGGAAAAACAAATACTTCTTTAAAATTGTGTTTTAGTTTGCATCTGATTAACTATAAAGTACTGTATTATTTGTGATTGGATCATTTATTGATATAAAGATATTTAAGTGCCTATTTGTACCAGATGCTATCATTGTGTCTTTTTAAAGTCTTACAGTTAAGATGGATACATGACGGATACATCTTACAGTTAAGATGGAGACTTCAAATAAATAAATTAACAAGACTAACTCGACAGTGTAGAAATTCTAGATTAGTATGTCTAGGTTACATGTTAATATCAGTTACACTAGTTACAATAAGATAGAAATTAAGTGGCTACCCTTGTTTGTTGGGGGACTTTCAGAGTAACTGGTAATATTCATTTAGAGCATAGATCAATATATCTATGTATGTTACTTGAAATAGGTCAACTTTTAAGGCAGTTGAAGGGACTGGAGGGAAGGCAGAGATGGCCATAGATTTGGTGTGCCAAAGTGCTGTTTAGGAATGAATGAAACATAGATTAATGAGCTGGTTAAAGGGAGATATTTAGTAAATAGAGAATAGGGGTCCAACTGCCTCTTATATAGACTATCGGCCAATGTGCCAATCTTCTACTTTTATATAACACCCTTCACGGTGTGCGACGGACATGGATTCACTTGTTTCTTCCTTAGGTATAAGCTTTTTCTTTTCTGGTAATTGGTTACCATTGTTTTATCCAGTTTGCATTCCCTTAAAATTTGTTGGCATCATATGTCTCCTATTATTCTATCTTACGTATTATTTCCTTGTTTGTTCATACACTTTTATACCCTTATTTTAATTTTATTGTATTTTTCATAAATGAGATAAATGTATGTCTAGAATTTAACTGGAAGATCTCCTTTTTACTTTAAAAGCGGAAATGTTAAACTTATCATAGCTCCCTGTTGCTTTAGTGGAATTATTGGTAGTCTTAAATTTCTTATAAAGTATTTCACAAATAATAACCCTTTAAATTTTAGCTAATGGACTTTTGTATGGTTTGAAGTAAATTATTTTAAAAATACTTGTTTATAATATACTTTATAAAATTTTAGCCTTATAAAGAGGAATGTCCATGTGTACAAAACAGATATCAACCTCCTGTATTTCTCTGGGTCTGCATCTTTGGAAACAAAGTGTATGTGGATCTTTAGATACATATATACATGCATGTGTGTGTTTAGCATTGTTTTGGAGAAAACAAAAGAAAGTATATGCTTTTAAGATATGTCCTGTATGCTGAGTTTTAAAAAATCTGATAGATACCCAAAATTATTCAGACTCATTTCTTTACAAGTCACATACCTATGATTTATGAGCCTATATTAATGATGTGTGTACTTATATACTGTATATTGTATTTAATTTATTTCATATTTTATATTTTTGTGAGCTTCACCTTAGTAGAAGGAGCTACTGTTAAAAGTTTGCCTGTTCCATTTGAAACCATGGTCTTCTTCAAGACTTTTGGTGTCCAGATTGGAGTAGCATTTTTCATGTTTCATTTTATTTATTATATATTTTTTTAAAGACAGTCTTGCTCTGTCACTGACGCAGTCATAGCTCACTATAACCTCGAACTCCTGGGCTTAAGCAATCTTCCTGCTTCATCCTCCCAAGTAGCTAGCACTACAGGTGGTAACTATCACACCTGGCTACTTTTTAACCCTTTGCACTCGCTTGCTTTTTCTCGACTCCTTTATTCTACTCGAGATTTAATTTTTTAAATATCCCAGATTTTACAAAGTGCGGCAGTAGAATAAAAAACTGGAGTTTCTTTTCATACAAACTTATTTATTTGGATTTTTTTATATTTCAAATTATGGATACATTCAGAGAGTAATTTTAATCTCTATAATTTTTGCTAACCGTGTCGAGTCATATTTGACATTCGAGTGCAAAGCGTTAAATTTTTTTAGAGACAAGATCTTGCTATGTTGCCCAGGCTAGTCTCAAACTCCTGGGCTCAAGTGATCCTCCTGCCTTGCCTCCCAAAGTGGTAGGATTATAGGCGTGAGTCACCACACCCAGCCTTCATATGTTTCAAAGACTGCCTTTCCTATCATTGGCTATTTATCAATATATTTTTAATCCTCTGATCCTGCTGACTTAAATAATATTGTTACCCTTAGAATTTTCTATATGTTTATTTCCTAATTTTATTATATGCAATGGTTATTTGTAGAGTGGAGTGCATGGAAACTCATATCTTAGAAAGCCTTAGGGGCAAAAATGGTGCCATCACTTTTTAAAGATCAGTTTTACAGAGAGAGATTTTTAGAAGACTAATACATACTTTAAAAGATGTGCAATTGATAAATTATATTTGAGTCACTAATTAGTAAACTTTATTCCTTGGAGCTAGCTTAGATATTGCAAGGTAAAACAAAAAGGTATTTGATGGCTCATTTTAGAAGAGATAACAGTTAATATTTATAAATTAGAAAGCCTTTATCTAGAGCTTAGTGTACTTAGTATTCTAATTTTTCATGTATAAAAAATTAACTGCTTCTGTTACATATTTAAAATTTAATTTTTTTTCTATGTGTGTGTTTTCAATTTCTCTTTAAACTAACATTTGCATATCACTTTCATCATATTAGACCAGGTCGTTTGTACAGAAGATGTATGTCACTTTAATCAATGTAAATACATTACATCTTTGGCATTCACAAATTTAACAATCTTTTTTTTTCTTTTCTTTTTTAAAATTCCTTGTATTGCAATGCTTATTTGCAGGTTTAAGTCACTAATTGGTGAATTCACTGCCCAGTGTCTGTTTCTCAATAATGCTCATTGTTTTCTTTGTGTACCATCATATCATATCATAATAAATCTTGTCAAATCAACATGAGGGACTTACTTTATTTTATCTATATTTTTGTGAGCCAGAGGTATGGAAAGGAACACTGTTAGTAGAACTGAGAAGGCCTTAAAGAAAGAATGATTCTTAGCCAAAAAGCAGAAATTTTTGTTAAAATGTGGAATGTCAATTTATATGGAGGTTTAATTCTATGGAATGAATCAGCCTGTCAAATATTTCATTTTAGAAACAAGAAGAGAAATCCTTTGCCAAATTGTTTTAGTAAGATATCTGTTTAGTAAGGTATTCATGAGCAATACAAATATTGCTCATGAAATTAGGAAGAAAGTGTTGGGATTGGAAAAATTGTTGATATTTGTAGGGGACATAACTCTTGAGGAATATGCTTCAGAAGAATATAAGAAATTTAGCTTTGATTTTTAAATAGCACAAAACAAATACTGTAAAGGGAAAAAAAGCCTTCCAGTTCTCTAATTTTCACATTCTTTATCATGTTTTTTTCCTTTCTGTTTTCTTTTTCCATGAAGGTTTGAATATAAGGTATTTGCTAATAGTGGGGAATTAGAAAAAGGGATTCTGAGGAAGTAGGTTGGGATTATATTGTAAGTCTTCTGTTAAGGAATTTGGACTTTATTCCTTAGGTATTTGGAGGCCAATTTCATCAGATAAGTGATCTGGCAAGATTTGATTAATTTTAAAGAAAAGAAAGGGCTGAAGGATGGAAAGAGGTTGTCAGAAGACCAACTAGTGGGAGGCTATTGCTAGGATCTAAGCAAGAGGGGGAAC